GCTAATACTTTCATTCTATTTGTCTGCAACCATTCTATTAAAACTGACTTGCTACTATCTCTAGTAAAATCTAATTTTCAAAGTATACATATAACTAACACCTTATCCTTGCCTAGAAATATAATTTATTTCAAACAAACGTTTTCAGCCTGATTCACAGGCCATCTTCAGATTGAGAACCAAATTTGAATTAAAGGATTCCATTAATGGAATACAAAATTCAAAATTAAATAAGCAATGGAATAAGATTAAATAAACAAATTAAATATGAAATAACCAACAGAGTAACATAAAATAAAAACATAAAAATGTAAAAAATGTACATAGAAGTATTAAGAATTACAATTATTAACACATTTAATAAAATTACTATTTTGACTGGTTAGAGCTCTTATTAAATTTCTTAACTATAAACTTCCATGCAGAGGGAAGACTTTCTGCGTACCTCGCATTTAAACAGCCTTCTAGTATTTTACTCCTATAAATCTGCAACTTTTCAGCTGTCAACGCCAAAGATGGGGAAGATAAAGGTTCTATGACAGCTGCCTCATTCCATTTGACTACAGATCCTGGTGCTTGTGCCATTTGGGACAAAATTGTTGCATTAGACTCCTTTCTGATATAACTATGTTCTTTGATTCTAAGTCCCAAACTCTTGGTGGTTACTCCAATATAGTCTTTTTTAATGCCCAATTGCATATTTTCATAAGGAATTCTATAAACCCCTGCTTTCTCCTCTGACATTATAACATCCTTATCATTTCTGAGGATTTTGTATAAATTAGGGGCCCATTTTATAAGCATTCTTGAACCTTTTCTGCAAGCAATCTCTTTCATAACGCTATTCATGCTTTCATTATATGTAAATTTTACAATTCCAGTGGGAGCATTTTTAAAAGACCCTTTCTTGTTGTTCACTTCATACTTCCTAACCATTCCCAGAATTGCACTTTTTCGGTAACCTAGGGTCTTGGCCACACTCATTATTCTATTTATTTCTTTACTTCTGTCTTGTACTATTTCACAATACAAAAATGCCCTTCTTATTAAAACTCTGAAAGCTGAAATTTTATATTTATACGCAATATGCAATTTTGCGTATAAATATAACGCATAGAGCTCTAACCAGTCGAAATAGTAATTTTATAAAATGTGTTAATAATTGTAATTCTTCATACAGTAATACCTCGACTTACGCGAATCCGGAGTTACGCGATTTTCAAATCTCGTCGATTCGTCTTTTGTTTGAGCGTCATGCAACTCTCGATTACTCACTCCCCCCCACACTATTGTTTGGCTTACATGTTCGGACATGTTGCGCGGAATCGACACATAGCTACAATTTATTTTGTGTTATTTATTTCTGTGTTTGTTATATCTACGGAGATTCGAGAGACTGTATGTGGTTATTTCTTGTAACCGTGAACAAATCAAAAGACGAGATAAGATTAACGAGAACATTTATTACCTTACATACATCCGACTTGAATTTTATACAAATTGCGAAATTATACCCCGACTTACGTGAATTCGACTTACGCGGTTATCGCTCGGGCCCACCTATCGCGTAAGTTCGGGGTATTACTGTACTTCTATGTACATTTTTTTACATTTTTATATTATTTTATGTTACTCTGTTGGTTATTTCATATTTAATTTTTTTATTTTATCTTATTCTGTTGCTTATTTAATTTTGAATTTTGTATTCCATTAATGGAATCCTTTAATTCAAATTTGGTTCTCAACCTGAAGATGGTCTGTGAATCAGGCTGAAAACATTTGTTTGAAATAAATTATATTTCTTGGCAAGGATAAGGTGTTAGTTATATGTATAGTGATTTGCTGAGTACTTTATGATATTAAATGATTTAACCACCTAAAAATTTCTATAATGTATAATTATTTTTTACCTCCAACAGGTGTCTCTTCAACAGGAGTTGTGATTTTTGGTGCTTCATGAGTTCCAAAAGCAATTTCATTTTGACGATATAACCGATGCCGACGAAGCTGAGCTATCCACTGGTGAAATAAGAGATTATTTTTTACCTAAAAAAGTACAAAATTGGACATTGATAATTTCATTCCTTACTAATAAAATATAAAAAAGAAAAAGTAACAAAGTCAAAAGATAACAGTTTTAATTTAATCTTTCAATGCTCAAATTTTGCATTTACAATAATTTGATAAATTATATTCTTAATTTTATATAGCTAAGCTTTTGATCATGTCTTCAACATTGCAAAATAATAACAATTGTATTTGATATAATTTCTTTGTGTTCTCAGATGATCCATATTTCCTAAACTAATTTAATAGTTCACTTATGTCAAAATACAATTAATTTCAAATCTATTAACTATATTGTGTCTTTCACATTGATAAGCCTTGAATTAATCATAAATTTTATTTTAAATCACCTCTTATCCTTATTAAAATAAATATTTTATTTAGTTGAACCTGTATCTCAAATCTCAAGGAAACAAGTTAGATGTAGGTTTCAAGATGTAGAGGTTTCTATAGAGTAAACAGTAATATGTTTGATTGGAGTACAGTATTTTATTAATACAGTAGCAACTACAATATATACTTGTATTAGATACAAATAAAACATTTTGACATGCCTATTTGACAAACAGAAATAGTTTGTCAATAGTTTCTAATGCCTGACTTTCTTCAGCCAATAAGATGCAAGACAAACTCATAGTCAATCAGAAAAAAGCAGTGTTAATTACAACTATGTTCTCTATTGCAAGAGATGTTTCTCAATTACAATATATGCTATCAAAATGTAGTCATTGAGCTTTGAATTTGTAATTGACAGTATGAACTGTACACCTATTGTTTACCTTTAGATGATAGATAAATTCGTCTGCATCAATATCAATCCTACGATGACGTGGTTTTGAAGAAATAACAGAAAGACCAACATCTACTGTTCCATGTATTTTGCCTCTTGCCATCTAAAATAAAATCAACATATAATAATTTCATTTCTATTGCAGTAGAATTATAATTTAACAATAATTAAATTCACACTATTATTTTAATATTTTAAATGAAAATAAATCATTATATAGTGAAATTTATCAACTGATTTTAAAATTATTAACAATTTTAATTATATAAATGGATTAAATTATGCTTACGCTGGTCTATGTGATATTAATTCATTAATAAATGCTTGGCCATCTAATGAATGTAGAGATAGTTAAGTATGCATTATTGTTTTACTTCTTATTTTTTATACATCTGAGTACTTTATCATTTACTATCACTTCTTCTATCACTAAGTTGATACCATTTTCAATGATATAAATAAGAACATGAATATGTTCATTATTCTTTCTCAAATTTAACATATAATAACAGAGAAATGCATCACATATAACCAAAAACAACCTGTTTCTCAAAATTTATACACATTACAAACTATATAAGATATACCTAAACAAAAACTAATGTGAAAAGATATACTGATTCACAAGGATTTCATTTCCAACATCTGTAAGAGCATGTATTTAATCTACCAAAAATAAACAAAAAATCCTTTGTCCATTTCATTATGCAATCAAGTATATGCCATGAAATGTTAGTTCAAACAATCCATTAATTTATATTTTTTTGCACATTTAAACTATTATAAATCAAATCTTTACTAGATAGTATTAGATTAATATAAGAACCATCAGACAGTTTACAAAGAAATAATTTCTTGTTAAAATACTTTATTTACAATACTAATATTAAAAAAATTTACCAACAAGTAAAACATCAATACTATTTTATGAAATAACAGCACTTACTGTATTACTCTTTTTACAGATATTACATCTAACATTATTCTATTGACTTTCAAGATATTTTGATGGATAACATAATCAAGATTAATTTTTATTGTTTAACAATTGTTCTAACTCAGTCATGAGCAATTCATGGCCCATAAGGTTATAACATGCAGCATCTAGGATTTTGCCAACATAACTTTATTTTCCTTATTTCTATCTCATGGTATTGTGCAGTTCTAATTAAGCTAATATTTGTGACAAGGACTATTCAGAATAAATTTTATTAGTGAAAAAATAGAAATAAACTATACATTATTAGTTTGCATATTGTTACAATATATTATTTTGATACCCAGTGTACTGGTTGTTATTAACCAGTCCTATGTTGTTCCTGAAAATATTCATGTTGACCTCATTGACCTGCGTGGGCGATCCCAAATATTTTCGTGTTTACATTGGAACGTTTTTGATGCTAGATGTCGCTATGTGTCACAATTTTTATATTAAAACAAACTTTTAAAATATAATTTTTTTGTTTCTATATTNCTGCCACTTTATATCCAATTTATATTAATATTGTAATTTTTATCTAAATAAGACAGTCCACTACCCCGTTCCTACATGAAAAATTCCTTGTATAGATGATTTCCATTTTACGTTTGTTTTGGCCGAGCAAATAGTGATCACTCGCGAAACCCCTGTCAACATTCCAGGGAACCCTAGGGTTCCGCGGAACCCAGGTTGAACACCCATGCAGTAGAGCATTGATTATCTGAATCAATTGGTGACGGGGCTGTTTGGAAAATTGATTTTTTGGATAACCGATTATGTACAAAAAAATATATTAACCTATCCCATGTTGAAATTTGTTCAAATTCTGGCATGTCCTTAAGTACCCTTTCATGGTCGCACCAGTGCTGCCAGCTAAAACACACACACCAACAAAAATAATATTGGAGTAGCTCAAGACATAGCCAAAGATTGCAGCACCACAGCACTAGCGGAAATTTAAATTTGCTGACTGGAAAGCTTTCAGTTAATTGACATTTTGGTTGATTGACATTTGAATAATCAATCAACCAAATGTCTATCAACTGTAACGTACTGTATTCATAAAAGGCCATAATTATTAATGAAGTTTGAACTTCTAATAATTATGGTCTTTTATGAATACTTTGTAAGGATAAAACTTTGAAAGTAATTGTGAAATGGCAAAATAAAAAAATGTGACTTTGTAATTAAGAGCAATCTGTTACAGTGCACCAATCAGTGATTAGACAGAATTATCCAACATATAGTTTTATCCACAAAGAGAAGAAAGGAAATCCTGAATTTAGCACACAAATCACTATGTAAAGATTATCTTGGTAGCCAAAAAACAGCTAACAGAATCCATAAAATATTCTTTTGGCCAAACACATGAACTCCTCATAATAAGAACAGAAAAAAACCAATAGAAAAATGCTAAAGCCTAAACTTTCAAGAAAAAGAAAAGCAACATTAGTGCAAACAAACAAGAGAAACCAATTAATTGCACTTTAGAAACCTTGTGATGACTGATAGAACTAATAATAAGCATTTGTAATTCTCTCTCTGCAAATCAATCAAAAATTGCATTATATAACATGTAAATATAGTAGAGTATGAGTTCTCCCCTAGGCAGTCAATAAAATCATTATTATTTGGACAATTAGTTATTTTTGAGTGAATCACTCTCTATAAGGATTCATGTGACCTTTCACAAATATACATCATTAAATACCAAGTGGTTCAAATCTAGTTAACATTTGGATAAAACCTTACACAGCAGGCAAAACCTCAGACAATCCCTAATTAGACCAGAAAAAGCTTTCCATTTATAACACATTAAATTTATTCTTAAGATTCATTAAGAAGGGACTAAAGATTAATCAGGAAAAAAGCCATAAAAAAATATCAGAAAACTGTAAAGCCTTATATCAAGTATTTAGATCATATTATAGGTTCAGAATAGCTTGAGTAGCATCTATTGCAAAGTTAGAAAGGCTAAAAACAATGAAACAGATGCAATCTTTCTAAGAATTTATGGTTACTATCATGATTACATCTCAAAATATAGACTAAACTCACATTCTCCTTAGTTAATACACTCTCTCAACAGAGACTATTATTATTTGTTGGGATGAGATTATCAATAAAGCTTTTATGGAAGTTAAGGAACAATTAGGAAGAGTCCTATTACTTTTTGTCACAAATGGATCAATCATTTCACTTATTTATAGATGCATTAAAACACTAAGTATGACTTTGCATGGAAATGATACCACCAGATGAGAAGGAGAGGCTAAAAGCTTTAGCCATGAGTTAAGTAGTGTTGAACTTAAAATGATAATAATTAAATTATAAATAAAACACTACAACTCAACTATAAATAAAACCTCAAACTTTCAAGAATAATTTGATATCTTTCATCCCGTAAATTTCCACTGTGGATTTAGCACTATTTGAACAATTAAAAACTAATCATAAACAGCAAAAAATAAATATTTCCCTACCTTTATTACCCTGATCAATAGCTGATGAATCTAAAATCCAAGCAGCAACACGATTCTGTTGACCAACAGGACTTCGCACATGAGTACTCTGACGAGAGGTGGGAGTTTCTTTACCAATAAAATTATGTATTCCTGAGATGGGAAAAACTATAATATAAATTTCACATTATTATAAAATTTTATTAAATATTCTTCTAAATATTATAAAATTCAATGCGAAAATTATAATTTAAAAAAAATTTTTTTAGGTTTAACATCAACAAAAATTCAACATGGCATCACAGGCAACAAAAAAAAATTTCAACATCGAATAGATTAAGTATGTTGGTACTAGCAGGCTTTAAAGCCTACAACTTCAAAAAGAATGTATATAGCCTACCAAAAGCCTCTGAAGTTCCCATGTGTCCCTTATCCAGAAGAGGTTGCACATTACTGTTCTAACAATATCTATTGAAACACAAGGAAGCTTTGCTGATACAAAAATAAAATCAAGACTATATATTTAATAGAGTTCACACATCCAAAAAAAATTCTGTGTAAACACTTTCATCCTAGACCATCTTTACTTTTATACAGGGTTCCTACTCAAAATTTTTGTTTTAAATTCCCTGACTTCCCCTGACCAACTTTGTACAAATTCCCTGACCCTCACATCCCTTATAGTTTAGCACATTAATGAAATAAAACAGCATATGATTTACTATGCAAATATACTATTGCTATTTCAACTTTTTAGTTAGTTATTTTTTCTAATTAACAACTACATAATTTTTATAATTGCTGAATAATTAAAATTAAAATAGTTTATCCTGTTATTAATCCACAATCATAAATCTATATGGCTTTGAAAACAAAAATAAAAAGCCATTATTTATTATTCATTAACAAATCCTATATAATTCATGTACAAAAGTATATATTTATTAAATTTATCTCTTAATAAATTTCCTGAACTTTAAAAATAATCTCACAAGTGATGATAAAGTACAAAAAAATTAAAATTATTTATCATTTTTTGTACTTTATCATCACTTTTTTTATCCATTCATTAACATCTGCCCCCAGACTGAGAGTGTAAATGGTAATTGTGAGAGAAAATAAATTTAAAAACTCACGCCAATGTTCGTATAACTTATGGATACAAATTCACTGAGTTCAGCTTTAATAAAGTTTCTTTAGTATTAACACAAGCACTTTCGACGAATGTATAATCGTCGTCTTCAGGTGAAAAGAATAAAATTTTTAACGAGACAAACGTGCAGAATATTCCAAAGGAACATTTGCACGTTTGATTTTAAATATTTTGTTCCTTTGGAATATTCTGCACGTTTGTCTCATTAAAAATTTTATTCTTTTCACCTGAAGACGACGATTATACATTCGTCGAAAGTGCTTGTGTTAATACTAAAGAAACTTTATTAACGCTGAACTCAGTGAATTTGTATCCATAAGTTGTAATTGTGAGATTTGTACAGTTAAAATATTTTCAAGAAAATTTTAATCAATGTTCGATTATTAAGAGTATTACAGGCTTTTCTGTAAAATTCATAATACTGCATAATTAATATGACTGTGTTAAAATTTACAAATAACGGTTGATATTGCCGTATATTATATTTGGGACTTAGTTTGATCTCTGACATTTTGCAGTTCTTTCCTCCCTGTTTTATTTTATAATTCTTCACATAATTAATACTAGTTTTTAAAATTAATCTGCACTATCAATAAAGGAAGTAAATATCTGTAATAATTATATAAACATTAAAGAAAATATAAAAAATACACAAAGTGATTAAATTTATAAGGTCTGATTTTGAATGATTTAAAATACAATCTTACAATGCAACAGAATAATAAGTCTTATATGTAATAAGACTTGCTTATTAAATCTAAAATTGTAAAAAAATGTAAAAATTAAAATTAACTCATTTGTAAGTTTAAAGAACTGCTTGTGAACTAGGTCTTTAGGTATAGCATCAAAAAATAAAAATTGACAAATAGCATTTATGATGCATTCTTTACATTTCTATTATACACATCCCACACATTAAGTCAACATTTCACTGTAAAAGTTTTAATATTCTTATGATCAACAGTGCATTTTTATTTAAATTGTAAGAAAAACTTTATACAAATTTTGAAAAACTGGAAAAACTACATGTCTTTAAGTACAAAATACCACAATGACATGCATTAACCTAGTGTTTTTCAAACTTCACCTTCTAGTAGACCTGTTTAATAAATTTTAATAAGCCATTTACCTAATTTGAATAATTTGCTGTCAACATATTTGCATACTTACACCCACAGGAATCTGTGGACCACACATAGTTGAATAATCTGCTATCTGAATTATCTCAATTACCTAGATGTGAAAATTTCTACTATTCAGCACTACAAACTGTGCAGAAATTTTCAGTGTTTTCAGATGATGCTTTCAATAATATGAAATAAGGAAAGCAGTTAAATATCTCAGAATGGATAGATTGATGAAAGAAGTCAATGCAACACCCAAAAATCTGACATGGAGGGATGCCTCCAAGGAAGACTTTCTACAAGAAACTGACTATTTAGGTGTTAGATTTGTGAAGAAACAATGGAAAACTCCATGTGGCCAGCCATTGGTGAAACAAAAACCTGTGACCAACTACCAGTGTTTTATCCAGTAAGACTTTGATGGGGCTAAGCACATAAGGAAGCCAGTATTAATTACCATGGCCCAGACCCAACTTGTGTTATTTTAAAATTTTAAATAATTTCAAAAAATTATAATGTTTTAATAAAACTATTTAAATTGTAAATGTATGTAATTTTTCTTATTAACTTTAGTTAAAATAATTTAAATAATGTAAAGGAGTGTTTTAGAAGTTAAACAAAATAGCAATAGTGGGAAAATAATTCCAATAATATGAAAATTTTCATTTTTACAATATTTTTTGGTGTTCATTATTTGAAGTTCATCCTTAACTTAAATTTTTGAGCCTTATAAAAATTCATTCTGAGGTCATTGTCACAAATAAATTTTGTATTTTTGGATGTCAAAAAGTCCATTAATTACTGTCTGTACTAAAAATAAAAATAATCATTTACAGCACTGAATTCAATTTTATTTCTATTAATTAACATATTGCATCAAGTTTATAACTGTATATGCTATCCTATGATAATGAAAAATGTGCTTAAATTAAAGTATTCTTTTAATCTAAAATATTTATGTTAACTTATCAGTTTAGTGTTGCATGGCAAATTGTATGGTAGGCTTACTTACTTACATGTATGATTTAATTTGAATTTTCCAAACTATGTAGTATTAATTATTAATCAGTTCATAAATTATAATTTTATTTTGTGTGCAATCATTTCTGGGGAAATTTTGGGTCCTGAAAATATTCTGCATGCCTTTTATAAGTTGCATTCTACCATATTACTTCTTGCTGCCTGCAGATGGCTACACTTGGTCTACCTTATTGTGAACAAAAAAAAATCAATCAACAAGGAGGCAAATTCCCTAACTTTTCATGACTTTTTTTGAACACTAATGAAATCCCTGACTTTCCAGGAGTGGAGGAACCCTGTTTATATTATATCTAAAAATGATTGTATAAATTCCATTAAAGCAAGGTTTTTTACTTATTGAAATGATAGGAAAGAAAGTAACTGAAAAAAAAAAGAGAGAGAGAGATAAAAATCAGATTTACTATATAAAAAAAATTAATAATTGTTCAGTATTTATTCAATACATCTTAAGAGCAAGATGTATATGTATCTATAAACAAAAAAACCACAAACCTGATTTTTAAGTAATGCCAAATAATCTGCCACATTATTGGCCTATAATAATAACACCAATTTATAATTAGATATAAAGTAATTTGATCAGAGGTAGGCAATTATGCTGCCATCTCATGATAATTTTAATAATTACAATAAATTAATTTTTAATTTAGAATTACTGGAAGAAAAGAATTTGCCTGGAGTGTGACTCAAATTCATAGCTCCTGCTTACCATTCAGATGTGGTTGCCAATTACACTACTCAGACCTCCATCTGATTTTTACATCCAGAGCTATTAATTTTATATATAACCATACTGCTCACTCATCAAAAAAATTAAAAATAACAACACTACAAGTGAAAAGGAATGGGACTAAAACATTTGTCAATTTTTAAATGTCACAAAACAATTTTAATTTTCCCATTGATTATCAAGATCATTTTGTACAGTTTCAGCCAGCAAGGTTATTTTTACAATGTTGCATTACCGTGCAAAGCAAAGATGATCTCTCTCTCTCTCTCTCTTTGTGTGTGTGTTGTTTGTATGTGCATGCATGTTTTTAATACATACCTGAGCTTAAAAATTTATATAATTTAAAAAAAAATTTATACTATACCTCAGTAGAAGATTTGGAATATGTCAAGATTCCCTTATCACAGCAAAAGTATCTCTGTAAAATATGTTATGTTACACATTTTTAAGCAAAATATTATTCAAAAATATATCCTAAAATTTTATATATACATATATATATATATGTATATATTAAAATTACTAAAATGTTTAAACAAATGAAATGTTTATACATGGTATATATATATATACACACCATGTATAAACATTTCATTTGTTTAAAAATTTTAGTAATTTTAATAGAATTCTAATTTATATTCTATGTAAGAAAACTTGATCTATACTCAATTAAAAATCATTACTTTTCATTTTTTATATTTTCAGTACTTTTTTTAAACTCAATATATTTTAAGATATTCAACAGTAATTTATTTTATATAAGTTAGTCTTAATATACATTTCCCAAATTTTGTATTTTTGAAATAACTCTTTATTAATTAATTATATAACTGTATACTTACTTTATGCCAACCTTTCAATGGCCATTTCCTTCTTTTCATCATGTAACCTTCAAATTTTTCAGGCTTTTCCTCAAATCTTTGGCCATCTTTAAGACCTTCTAATATTTCCCATTCACTACCTCTTCTCATTTGTCGCCTTTTACTTGGTGCAACTTTTTTTGTTTCTAATTTTTCTTCTTCAATTTCCTCAACATTCAATCCACTTATTAATGGTAAATTTAATGTCAATGATGATTTCATCTGAGGTGGAGGTTCTGACTGAAGAGATGCTTGGGATACACTTGCTGTACTATTGCTAATATCCTATGAAAATATTTAAAAATAAATAAAATTGGTTTATTTGTTAGTTTTTTATAATCAATTTATATAATTTAAAAATAACTAAAAAAACTAAATATCTATAAATCCTCAAAAAGAACCAAATCTATGAACTCAAAAAACACTGAAACAATTTCTTATGCATAATGTCACTATAAGAAAGCCCTTGACAATGTTTTCCTTCAAATATCTTTGCTTGTTTTAAATTTAATTTTTGGTTATATTTTTATTATCTATTTTATTTCATCGTTTATAAGAAAATTTTATAAATAATTGCATATTCCAATGATTTTGAATTTGACCAATTTTCTATGATTTAAAAGGAATATTATTCGTTATTCCTTTTTTTGTTCTTTTACATATGTTATGTTCAACTAAGAACTTAAGGAGAGCCTTTAAACATGGCTAAAAACATTTGTTCTAAATATATTTGAGTTGCTGAAATTTTAAAGGTGTATTTGTTGCTGTTATTATAAACATCACTGTTCCAAATACTGACAAAATACATATAGTAAAAATTTTAGCAAATATTCAGAACTCGCCTATGAAATGAAATGTCTTTGGAGAATGAATATGGTATTTTTTTATGTCCGTAATTCTTTCTTTTGCAGGCATCATATCATATACACTACACAAAAATCTAAGAATATTATTACTTTAAAACAGCACATACATGACAGTACAGAAAGCAGCAATACTAAACACATACCAAATAGGAAATTCTTCAATACAGATATATACATTAACTGTGCATAACCATAACAACAGTTTTTTTGTAACTCTTAAAATGTTCTGTAACTTCTAAACATAAAATAACCTTAAAATTTATAATATCCTATGATAATAATTTAAGGGATGTTTTAACCATGCTTTATGAACCCTTGTTATCAGTTTATTCATTGTTGCCATTGGAGTAGCAAGAGATGTAACAAGAGAGATATCATCTGACAGTATCTCAAACATGTTCAACAGATAAGAGATCCTGTGAACAAAATGGCTAGGCATTCATGAGCTTGATCAAGACACTGCAAGGAGACCCAGTGCCTTGATTAGAAATTTAAATTAATGTACTATAAGAAAATAACAATTAAAACAATTAATGTTTAACATTTAAACTCCTAATTAAACTGATAATATGTAATTGTTAACAGATGTCTGTTTTTTTGTGAAATCAGTTTTAACATGTGATTGATAATAGTCTTAAAACTATCTAATTAACTGAACATAATGATACCTGTAACTCAAACTTGGATTACAATAAGCAAATTCTACTGTATTTATCAGCAATTTATACAATCGTAAATATTCATATCATTTGCTAAATTATAAAGTAAATTATAAATGTTATGTTCTACTTACAGAATCCGAATGACTAGATGTTCTGTCATGATTAACAGCATCATCAGGATTGCAAGCATTACCAGCTAATTTTTGACTTAAATTAGCTGGTTCAGTTGCTATGTGACGAAGAGAAGACATGGGATACAAACATATATACAAAACAATCCCAATTTTATAGTATCTTGAAAATTTAGAGAATATTGAAAAGAAATATGATGATCATTTTATCTGAAAAAAAACTTTTATTTAAAATGATATACTTATAAATTATGATAATATATGCTAAATATCAGAATCTCATATTAAAAACTACTGCACAATAAAAACAGCACATGCCATTTAAAATAAACAACACAATATATAACATGAAATATTTTTATTTTGAGAATAATTATAAAATAAAACTACTTTTATTGGGCTGCAATTTGAAAAAACTGTGGACCTATAAATACCCAGTTGTCCATCTGTATGTCTGTTTGTGTGTCCTTCCTGAATCTTGAGAATAGTGTTAGATAAATTAAATTCAAGACCAGATATGGAAAGTTTAGGGACAGAAAGGCCCAGTTAACTATATATGAACTTCCAATGCAAACTGGAAGTCATGTTATTTCAATTCAAAAATTTTTCCCTGTAAGGAGTTAGATAGATGATGGCATGACTATTGATAACTGGAAAAGTATTACATACAGGAGCAAGACACTAATAATTTGTGGAGGAGAGCATATATTTAAATTAAATAAACTTAAAAAATATGATTAAAAATTGCAGCCCGGCATTGTGATGATGTCACAATAAATAATTGCTCGTTGAACAATAAAATCTTACATGATTCAATTTATGTTGAACTTGAACAATAATATCTTTTCTAAGATATATTAATATTCAAGAAAAGTTATCAAAAGTATTATTTAATTATAGTTGTGTTCAATTTCTGCAGAGAAGTTTTAAGTACACCTTTTCCAATATTTTAGCATCTTCTTTGTTAAGATGATACTAAAATATTGGAAAACATCCCTTAGAAATTCACTCATCAATATAATAAAGACTATTTTTATCAAAAAAGGTATATATACAAGTGTATGACATTGTATTTACAGGATACAATGAATTTTTAACAAAGATTATTTCTCAGTCTGACATTTAGGTTATTGCAATGAAAGTAAAATACTGTATATGTTTCTCCTATACATGTTAGTTTAGATAAAGCAACTTTTAATTTCTTGTATTTTTTCATATGATATAAACCTGAATTAATATTAAAAGTTTATTTTTTTCCTCCTTGTGAAATTCATATTATTTTTAATAATTTGCTCTTTTCTTGTTTTCATCCTTGATAGAATACTTAAAAACTAAAAAGATTTCATTTATTTAAATACTTCCAGAAAGCACCACTGCCAATAGCATTAGAGCTATTGGCAGTGCAAGGACCAGTATATCTATTGACTCTGCTATTGCTAGTCATTTTGGCTGGTTAAAAGCTAAACATTTCATACTAAACATTAAATAACATTTCATAAAACTAAAAAACTAAACATTTGAAACATTTTCTATTACATTTCACTAAACATTTCATAAAACTAATAAACTTTTCTTCAAGAAAATGTTATCATTTATATTAACTAAAATTAAATTTTAAATAAAATTATGTTATCAACATTTGAAATTAAAATCCTTATATGTTTTCACAGTTAATATAGTATATTGTATTTTATAGTAACAAAGCACTTTTTCTGTATGCAAAATTTTTATACTGATGACACATATACAAGTATCATTTTAACATTTAGTGGTTTACAAGTGCCTTTTCTAACGTATTATTTACTATTTTATTGGTAGTTTTCTAACATTACCAATAAAATAGTAAAAGCATATTCAGTGATTTCTCACTGCTTGAATCATGACTTCAACTCTGTTTTATAATATATTGTTATAAAATAACACTATTTTAGGTCATTTATTAATTTAAATGCTGTTATAAAATTTGTAATAGCACATTTACAGAAAATTATTGCTTATACGGTACTGTATAATCAGTTTCTTCTTTTTCAGAATAAGGAAAAAGTATATAAAATATATTTAGACCTAGTATCAACAGCAAGCCAAAACTTAACTTGTAAGATTTTTTTGTGATATATTGAATAAATTTTCATTTTGCTGTAGTAAGAAATAATCACTCATTAACAGAAGTATCCTCTTTTGATATATAATATAATAAATAAATTTTTCCACACCTGATAAAGCAAATTTATCATTTGCAGTCAATTTTTCTGACTGACTTAACATCAAATTTAATATATTTCATAATCTCTCAAAGCCTACTCAGAGGTACACTGTAATTTTGTGTGGCTCATGATTAAAAGGCAATTTGAAACCAGACAGATTAAGTAATGAGTGGGTTATAATCAGAGCTTGTGCTAGACCTAAAATATTATGAGACATTTTGACTCATGGATCACAGGAATATGAGTCAAGTATAAAAATTAAGAGTCAAATATAAATTTATTTTCCGTTAGTCAATGATTTCATGTACTTAAATACATATTTATGATTGAGTTTGATTCAGATTCCTTACTTACAATAGTACAAATCTTAAATATAATTACAAACTTACTACATTTGCTGAGAGAAGTTTTTATTAACAAATGTTTTCAGTCTACTCCTATAGGCCATTATCAGGTTTTTAAATCAGTTGATGGGCTACGGGAGTAGACTGAAAACATTTTCTAATAAAAACTTCTCTCAGCAAATGCACAGGTGTTGTTGTAAGTTTGTAATTTTATCTCTGCTGAGTATTTCCGGACTGTACTTAAGAATATTAGATGAGAATGTTACAAGATAAAAAAAACTTATTTCTTTCTTCTGTCTTTCATGCATTCAAATGCTTCAACAGCTTTACATTTGGAAACTGAAAAAGTGATGATCCTTTAAGATGATTGTTGTCAAGGTTTTTAGATTATCTTCTTTCAAGCAATTTTGCTGAGAGCACTTCATCCAATTATCTGCACTAAATGTTCTCACATGAAGCACTTTCAGTGGTAAAACTAGAATATACAAGTGTGATGAGGTTGCTACAATACATTTATTAAACAAGGTTTCAAATTGATTTATGCTTTTAATTTATTTACACTTTTATAAAATTTTATAATTTATAAATATTAATTATAAAATCTTAAATTATTTTTCATTCCTGGTTGTTATTTTGCTACATCAATTCACTAAATTTAGTTACTTGTTATAGATTTTTGTTCATTATTTGTTAAATACCTTTAATTACTTAATAAGAATAATTGACAAAGTAAAAGATCAATGCATAATAGTATGCTTGCTTGTTATTAATAAGCATTTACCTATCAGTAGTTTCAGTAAATTCAGATAATTAAACTGTTCATCAGAAAAATTAAAGTTAATCACATACTCTGAACTGATTACAGTGTGCACATAAACAAAACAAACAGATTTTTGTTTGCTTTGTTTATGTGCACACTGTAATCAGTTTGGAGTATATCCCAGTTTGGTGAGTGGTTGTTTAGAAAAATTAAAGTAGCCCAATTCCCATTTTCTTTGCATAATATAGCAAACCTGTGTTTTTGGTCATTGGCCCTGTTACTAACAATAGTTAAAGATTGGTCATGTGCATTTATTATAGCAATTATATGTAAATCAGTAAGTGCCTGTACTTATGGTGTTGGGAAATACAATTTGAAACTTTGACTTGCAATAAAAGTGAAATTTTTCTAAGTCTGAATTTCCCAAAATTTCAGTTTTCTTAGGAAATTTGCAAGAAAATGCAAGCCCTGGTTTGTATGTCAATTTTAAATTGTAATTATACTGTATATTCAAATTAAAATTTAAACAGCTTTTCCTTTGTATAAAGTTACTTACCATCTTTAGAAAACCTGAAAAATCCTTTGAGAGCGGCAAACAGAAAAATTGCTATTGCAATTTTTTCTTAAACCATCTGCAACAAGTATATGTATACTTTGTCATTAGTTCTCCCCATTCATTTTCTTTATGTTCAATTTATGTTTTAATTAATATCAGACACTCTTATTTGAATTTTTTATCTTAAAAGCTGATAAATTTCCAGTAATCATCTCCTATCCACATTACCATCAAAGTTTTCTGAAATGTCATTAATACAAGTGACACAATAATTATCATCCAAATAAGCTGTAAACTCATTGACCTTTTCATTGCTACAAAGTATATTTTGACAACTGAATATAATTATACATATAAAACAATAGTTCTAGCTTGACTGTGCAATGTTTCATTTTGTGACAAACGGCAGCATAACTTTATGGCATATGCTAACAAATCAAAAAATAATGATGTCATTACAATACTAGATCGTCTTACCTCATTTTTTTAAACTCTGTAGTTGAGAAATTTGTTTTATATTAATTAAAGAACATTTGTATATAATTTAAATTATTATTAAATAACTTTTGAGCTATAATAATTTCTAAACAGTAATGTAATGAATTATCTGCACAAAATGCTTACTTTCAAATAGCCAACTGTTTAAATTTTTCACAAAGAAATGTTTTCATCCTGTTTTAGGATAGGTTCTCTTCTTAACATATGCAAGTCAAGATTCCAACAAGTTGAAACAATGACTTGTAAATGTTAAGTATTTTATACATATATGTAACCAGAAACACAAGAGGTAATGTTTAATGTGATGAATAAAACAGATTCTCTGCAGCCTACTGGATGGCATAATCATTATAATTCAAGTCTATATTATATAAAGAAGTACATTTTTTGAACTCGTTAGCAACCAAATAACAAAATTTTTGTATCATTTTGCTTCTTTTCTGTTTTATTTATAAAATATTAATATGGGTTATATATTTATAACTTGTAACTATAAAAGTCAAGTAAAGTTTAATGTCTCTCTTGAAAATAATAAATGTTCATTTAGAATGCCTTTTGAAGTTATAAGTATTATAATATAACTTCAAAAGTATTACATTATTGTAAACTGTAATAATCAGGGCTGTGGAGTCAGTAAACAAACACGCGACTCCGACTCCTGATAAATTTAGTAGGCAGACTCCCGACTCTGGCAAAATTAAATACCAAGTCAGTTCATGGGGGGCAGAGAGGCGCTCATAGGGGGTACCCTACTCTGAACTCTGAAAGGAGCCTGGGGTGTTTACTCAAATACTTTTATAGTTAGTATTTTTAATATTTAACTTACATTAATATTTATTTGTATAATA